AAAAAAAAAAAAAAAAAAAACACAACTCTTTCAGTTAGAAGTTCACATTGATGTTGCAATATTCATTAAGTCAAAGGGTCAAGCAGTATTCATAGGCTCTTTAATGTCATCCATTAGGTAATATTCTTAGATATTCAGTGATTAGTTGAGGCATATGCAAATTAATTAATCGGAGACATGACACAGGTGGATTCCAAGAGTATAAATTGTTAGAGCGGCTGGGGGATGGGAGTAAGCCAACAGCAATCATTGGGGAGGTAGCTGATGATCTGAACTTAGATTTGGTAGTTCTAAGCATGGAGGCTGTTCATTCTAAGCATGTGGATGCAAACCTTTTGGCTGAGTTCATTCCATGCCCTGTTATGCTCTTACCACTTTGATTTCTGTACATGTTGTAACCAATATCCAAGTTTTATGGAGTCGTGTGTTCATGTTTTTCTGTAATAATATATTGGGTATACTTGTGATTTTATGCATAAACTGCTTTTGGAGTTGATATAGGCCATGTTAATATCACATACGACTCGACGGCCTGAAATAGAGCTATTAAAATCTCTGACACACAACTCGCGGTGAAGACTATTCATTGTCCCTATAGCTTATCACATAGTGCAATGGTTGGGTTTCTTTCTGCAAGAATTATTAAACTAAGTACTCCTCACATGTTAACATCAATTTATAATCATAAACCTAAGACATATATCTAATATATCAATCATAAAGTTCTAGCGTGATCACATTTTATGCTTGCACTCATAATTATCATAATTTAAATAATATTATTTATATATTTCCTTTATGTTAAGTTCCTAATTACATGGTCATGATATGTATATACAACAAGTTAAGACTTGTTTAGGAGATTCAATTTGCTACTTGCATCATTTAACCCACCCGTTTCTTGTGTACCTCCCTAGTTAGTATGGTTGGCTATCTAAAAAATTAAAAAATTGTATACTCCTCAATCTGTTGGAGTTTGAGACAATTTGGTAGCCATTTCTTTCCGGACAGGAACTTGGTCATACCAAAGGAAAAAAAGAAAAAAAAAAAGTTTGTACAATTATGATGAGGTTCAACGGAGTGATTGAATACACCCCAAAAGAACCAAAAAGAAATGTTTATACAGAACCATGTACAGAACAACCATCATATTGATCAAGATCCTTGGGCACTCTTGTGGGACTTCAAATCATTCAAAAGCCCACTGATTCTCCCTACGAATTTCCGCCTCTTCCTCCGGTGTGAAGTCATTTTTGATGTTGAAGGTCTTTCTGACCTCCTCTGGAGTCTTTCCCCTGAACATGTTAGCTACTGTTCGGCATGTCAGGTCTAACAAGCTATTGATGCTCAGATAATTTGCAGCCTGCAGGGTAGGATAAAAGTGAATTTCATAGGGCGCAGAATCCAGAAAAAAATGAATGACGATAATGGTCAAATCCCCTGGCAGCTGAAATTCTTTGCATCAAGAACATAAACGATGGGTGAATGTAGAACTCGATAAATTAAAGCTATTAATATACAGAACCATGAAAGAAATCATGTCTATCTATGACTTTTACGCATTAACCTAAGCAACAATCATTTGATAATGAGGCCACCAGAAAAATAAGACCGCTGAAAATGAAATCAAGACGACAAGGTAACGATAAAGGCCATGACTATCCTATTAGCACAACTGCACAGGCGTCAATACAGATACGTCAGATAAAGAACGGTAACCAGCGACAAAGAAGATCAACGCAAGTGGTTTGCTCAATTCAAGATTCAGAGTTGATTCTTGAAAACAAAATCATACTAAACAGGTAAACCCTAGAAAATCGACTAAGAATCAAAACCGTAGACAATCGAGTTGATGGATCTAAAAGCGGGAGGAAAGAAAAGTTACCAGAAGGAGATCGAAAAGTGTGGCCTGATCAACATCGGCGAAGTCCCGGTCCCAGGCACTGAGATCTTGTTCAGAGAGAGGAGGATCGGAGGAGGAAGCATCGACGTGCTTGCGGCAGTACTCGATAACCTTGGCGAGGATCTTGCTGGTGACATTTGGAAGAGGGATGACGTTATCGGCACAATCGTCCTCGATCATGTGGCGGATGGCCTGTGACTGGAGGGCGGCCGCCTCGTCGACTTCAAAAGTGTCGCCATCGGAGCTCTTGAGAACGATCCTCTTGGCAGAGGACATGGTTTTGCTGAGAGAACGAAGATCGATTGATTGTGATTTTTGTGAAGAGGATGAAGAAGAGAAGTTTGAGACTGTGGAGTTCTCGCGCCGCTTTTATAGATTCTTGCCACGCGGGCAGGGCAGCCTCTGCCCGGCCAAATCATTTTTGTGATTAAAAAAATAAAATCACCCGAAATATATATTTAGAAAAAGTACTATTTTTATTTACCCAACCTCTCGTGTTAAAATGCCATTAAAGTAAATTTAAATTCACAATCAAATTTTGTTTCAACCAATTTTAAATTATAAAATTATTCTCCGTACTTAATAAATTTTTAAATTTTAATTTTAAAATATTTATTAATTGATCTCGTGAAATCTTAAGTCTACCTAATTGAAAACATTGAAAATTATATTTATGAATGTTTAATACTTAAAATAAATTTGTTTTTAACATAATAACATTACCATGCTGGTCATGATACGAGGACCTACAAAGGCCGAAGTTTTGGCGTATTCCTTCTAATTTAGTCTATTATATTTCATTTCGAGAGAGATAAAGAAACAAACAATAAGAAGATTTAAAAAAGAATTTTGCAACACGAGCCAAAATCTATACTCATAGAATAAGAAACTTCAAAATATTAGATTATTTAAAACAAATCTATGATACAATAAGGGTAGAATAAACTTGTGAGATCCCACATCGATAGAACGAATCATTCTTTGTAAGAGTGAAAACATCTCACGCATTTTAAAAATCTTGAAAGGAGTCCAAAAGAGAAAATTAAAAAAGAACAACTAGCCCGGCTTAGGAGGCTTGGGAGGGCTTTCCATTCTTTAAGATTCTAGAAACATGAGGATGTAATATCATACTAACATTACGATGTAAGAAGTAGGCTTGCTTTCAGTTACATGCTAGCTATAACTTTACCCGTATACATTACATAACAACTTTACTCTTCTATACATTATATAACAACTTTACCTGTATACATTACATAACTCGATCATGAATCGAAAATACTTGTGAGACTGTGTGACGGTTGAATGTGTCAAGTGTACTTTAGGATTCCATGTATTGAGAGGGTGGAGGGCTTGTCTTAGTCTTTTCAGGACCTGCACGTTGGCTTTTTATATCAAACACCCGAGAATCCTCCAAAATAATCACTAAGTTTACATATCTAGAGTATTTGCTGCAATGTATAAGAGAATTGTCGTTCGAAAACATTCAAGCACCAAAGTACATACCGTAAACCCCGCGTATCTCGACTTCTCGCCATTCTTGTACTAGGGCACAGCAGCAACACAAAAGATGGGAGAGAAAGTCATCAACATAACCTCCCTGCCCATTGCCACACACAGATTTCAGTCCCTGATTTAACAGATAGTATTGGGCAAATAATCTTATTGATTAACGACTTGAGGGTCGAGTTTATTCGGTTAAACACGCATTTACAAACCCATTGGGGTAGCAATTGCTCAAGAATAATTGCTACCCATCTACATTACCGAATCTCCAATAACGAATCAGAACAAGAGAAACATCTCGTTAATATGCAGGTGAACTGACAGTATATCAGAAGATAAACGAATCAGGCAGAAAAGATAACTACCGTGATGTTCAGCATCTTGCGAAGCTTTCTTCTAACACAGCAAGTATAGCAACAGCACGATAGTATCAATGTATATGCCAACAAATCATTACATGCTTCTCCTGGTGCTGAAGGTTAATTCAAACAGACCATTTCAGGGAATGGCAGAAACAAAAAGTAGTTCTAAATTGTTGTGGAAATCCAAAGACGCCAAGCAAACTTACATGTATGCCTATCGGTTGCAACAGTAGCAATCCTTGAAAAAGTCCCACAAGGATAGAAAAAAGTCTTAAGACCTAGAATAGAAAAGTAGAGTAAATGAGCCATTGTCATGATAGGAAGAAAACAGAATCCAAGCATCTTCAATCTGCTAGTCTTAGTCTATCAAAGTCAAATATTCAAAACAATAGTCATCAAGTACTTGAATCTTCAATGTCAAATTCATCGATTTGGCTAAGCATATTACTAATTGACTAGATAATTTATGCCCATTGAATCCAACCCATTCCCTTTAGAACTCCCTCTTCATACAAGACAAACCAATCTCAATGGACAATTAAAATTTAGAAGGGAGGAGGATAACCTACACAGAGAAGGTTTTGCACAACAATCAAGTAAGTCAGTGTGCCATTCACCATACCCATCAGAACCCCTGATTGAGAGCAGACCATGTCCTGATGAAACAGAAGAATTTTTTCTGCAACAAAAGAAATCAATATCAAACTCAATGAACCACGTAGCTTGATAATATATGACATGCATACGTGTACATGAGAGAGAGATTTAGGGCCAAATTTGAACCGGTGTTTGACAATGGTTGTCTACATTCATGATTGTAATTGAAATGCTGGAACGGGAAATAGCAGACCTTGAGGTTGTATGAGTATCAATATTTTTATAGTAACTTTCATCAGATGAATGTCCATTGTTGGCATCTACATGCGTATTTTCCACTACTTTGTGGGCTCTTTCAGGTGAATGTTTCTCATGACTAGAAGTTGCAGCTACAGATTCAGTGACACTTATCAAACGTTGAATAACCTCACATTCACCAACATTCAGATTAGCTTGTGACCGTTGTAGTTCTAGCTGGAGCTTCTCATTTTCTTTTTGTAGTGCTTTGTTGAAAGGCAAGTTCGGATAAGAACAAGAAAGAGATTTTTTCAACACCATTGCCTCGTCTGTCGAAGGTTCTGGGTTCAGAATTACTTCATGAATTCTTTTGTCATCATCATCCAAAGTATATTCGTGCTGATCCTTTTCAATATCCTCTAGTCTCTCCTGATAATTTGAAGTTAATCTAGTTAAGTTATCAATAAGCAAACAATAAGCAAAGTCGGTCAAAACAGACAGTCCAGAGGTTCTACGAGAAAACTTTGATCAATTTAGAGAAAATATCATGAAGCAGTATGTTGAATTTACCGTTCAAATCCGAATTATATTTTTCTTATGACTTTCCTTCTACGACAGATTTTAATTTCCAAAGCACACAAACATCTAGCAATAATTTCCAATTTCACTTTAACTTTCTAATGAAGAAAACAACTTCCTTCGAGAAAAAATGAAGGAACAAGAAAGTCAACATGCATGGGCCAAAAGTTGAGGAAATGCATCTTTCAAGATCATACTGTGCAAATAAACAAATATAATAACACTAGGAGGTGAAAGAATCAAATACCCTGACTCTGGCATTGTCAACGAGTGTAATCAAAGGAACAAGGCGCAGGTATCTGTCAATTTCATTCTGGGCCTTCCTGAATTGATATACAATGTTCCATCCCATGGCAAGCAGATAGAGATAGCTGCGATCCTGGCAGCTGTTGACCAAAATATACGACTTTCTTAAAGCATCTTCAAGCTGTTCTAGAGGCTCCCGAGTCTCAGGATACCTCTTAAGTTCCGAGATCTTAAGTTGCTCCAGCAGGTTTCCAATCAACTTCAGGTGCTGAGCAAATTGCCTGCAATTCTTTTTGTGCATTCGTGCAGTGCTTGCCGATTTCACTATCATAGAAATCAAACGAACTGCATCGATGCCCGTAAGCTGGGCCACATTGGCTAACTCCCCAAGCGTATCCCATGAAGACATATTTGTCTCTCAAAACTCTCAATCAAACTTGAACTCTCCAACAGTCAAAAAGTCCAAAAACAAAGTATCCGTTTAATCTCTAACTCAATACATAAGAATTTGCCAAACTCGGAATCTCAAAGCACTGCCACCGATTAAAATGATGTATAAGAGAACGAAGTCGTTCCTCAGGCGGTTGACAATACAAAGACCTTCGTCGGCAGCGATGGATATTCAAAAGAAAACAAAGGAATTGGAAATAAACAAAGCCGAATCAAAAGATCAAGAGCAAGATCTTCAACGTCGGCGCCCCAAGCTCACCATAATGCATGTCGGCTACAGAAAAATAATAATAAATAAACAAATCAGAAAAAAAAAAAAATCCACAAAAACATCATCACTCATCACCCGCAGTACTAAAAAAACCAGAAGACAAACTCTTATTTCCTTTGTATTCTCTACTCTTTAGTATATCCTTTTTCCTTCCATCGACTCACTTTTTCAACGAAATAAATTAACCAGAAAAAAAGTATATTCAAAAGACAAACAAGCTGCATTTGGATCTGCAAAAAGAACATTCAAATCAAACAAAACATTAAGCATCAATAGATTCTCACAGCTCCACCTCTTATCCTCTCCGCCATTACTACCACTTCACCTTCACAGCAATATCATACACAAAATGATATAATCAAGAGAGTTTTTGTTCGATTACCGGAGAGAGGAGATGAACGGTCACAACGCACAGGTCAAATGTCTGCATAGCTTTGCGGAAAATTGTATTGTGTTTCATCTCATTCCATTTCGTCTTCCATGGAAATTCGGAAAAATCTCTCTCTCTCTCTCTCTGAGAGTTCGGTCCTCTTTTTCAGTTTCGGTGTGGTTTGTCGGAGGAGAGAGAAAGAAAGAAAGGGAGAGAGAGGTCTGGTTGCAGCAGAGTGACAACTCTCACGCCATTACAGACAAGGAAGAAGAAAGGGCAGTTCAGTGGCGTCCATGTGACTTGAATTTACGATGTTACCCTCGACTGGTTCACGGACCACGGAAAAAAAAATTATATGATAAATGAGTAAATTAATTTTATTTATTTACAGGCTGGAAGTGGACCTCTTATTAGTAGTTACCTAATGAAAGGCATGGCCATGTAGCCATAGAGTTAATTGGCCATGGCACGGACCCTCTACTCGTTCGTATACAATCAAAAGTCGTCGCCTACCTAAGTCTAAAACAAAAAAGTAATTCACTCCGACCCATAAACACCAGAAATAGATGAATCACCCCTTGTATACACACACCGAGTCAATGACCTTATTAAATTAAAAAATTAGTGTTAATTTTTTTTTTAATGTTAAATGATGAAATTAATGCATAAATAACAAATACTTATTAAATAAATCACACAAAGCAATTAAATATATTAAAATCACTAAATAACAAATTAAAATTTTATATCAATAAATAATTTCACGAAAATAGATGATAAAAAGCTTTTTTTTTCAGTAATATATTTTAAAGACTGGAAACAAATATTGACGTGGAATATTCAAGTCCATTTCCATGAGCATGATGGTGATGACGAGGCAACCATTAAATCTGCCACGTATTAATTTTAATTCCACTCCTTACCCTTATATGCGTTTTACTTTTTTCATTTTTTACTTTTGGTTTAACTGTACCTTGCTTAAATTTAAATTATAAACTAATAATTATATTAATTTAAATTATTTAATATATATTTTTTAATTTATTGATATTTTGTAAAAAAAAAAAAAAAAAAAAGGAGATAAGACTAAATTCAATGATGAAAAGAATTAATAATAACAAGAAAAGTAAGCTTTAAAATCAAGTAATTGGTAGCTTTAATATAAGATGGGGTTTTTTCCCCTTTTTGTTGGATATTTGGGGTGTTTGGTGGTGGGAATTACGGAGAGCGAAAAGGTTGCCGTAATTCTCGGATAAGGATAGGTTGTGTTTGGATACGTTTCATGTGGATTTCGATTTCACGTAATTATATGTAATTATATTATATATATATATATATATAATATAATTACATATAATCACGTAATTATTAATATTAAGTAAAATCGATTGAATGATATAATTTAAATTATAATAATTGTGAATACTTTGGGTAAGAGGGAAGCATGCTAGAAATTTGTGACCAATATTTTTGTTTTTGAAAGTATAAATTATAACGGTAGGCAATTTGGTTGGCACGTGAAGTCCCATTAGAAACCTTCTAGAGCAATTCAAGATCTCGAAGCTTAAGGGGATGAATATCTATTATTATTTAAACTCCGAAATATTAACAAGTTTAATTGAGAGTTTTGAGAGACAAATATTAACAAGTTCCTCTGGAACAGTTTTGAGGATGTTTTGAGATAATCATATATTTTGGTCCAAAGCTGCCAGAATTGTAATGCTCATCGATTCCTTCACTATCATATAAAACGGTATTTACGATCCTGATAGCTCGTGACCAAAATATAGAATTATCTCAAAACATCCTCACAAGGCTCCCAATCTCAAGGATACCTCTTAAGTTCGAAGATTTTAAGCTTAGCCAACCGCATCAATTCCTTAATCTCTTTCAAGTACGCTCTAATGAAGTTACTTTGGGCTTCCCAAAAAGCCCAAAAAGCTTTCTCATTACTTTAGTAGGGAGTCCAAATCCGCAAAATGACTCAAACTAATGAAGACGGTATTTTTTTGTTATATAAACTCACAGTCATTCCCTAAATTAGTCCATGTGGGACTTTCATCATCTAACATCTCCCCTCAAACAAAGTATGTCTCCCCTTAATTGAGTCTTAGTTATTTTTTACTATGCCTTCAAGGAGGCTCGACTCTTTTTTCTTTTGGAGCCTTTTGTTCAACATTTGGGGATTCGTTGAGTTTAGGGCATGACTATAATACCAAATTAAATGAACACGACTCTTTACAATGGTACGATATTGTCCACTTTGAGCATAAATTCTCGTGACTTTGCTTTTTACTTCTCCAACAGGCTTCAAATCAAGGGAGAGAGTATTTTTTTATTATGATAGCAGTTATTTGGGAATTCTTTGAAAATTTGATAGAATATATGTTTGGATAATTTTGACGATCGCCGTCGGTGGTGGTTGAAATTGGTTGTGGCCGCCGTCGTAGTTCGCATCAGACATCACCATTCACGAACAATTGAGTGGGAACAGCCGGTACCAGGTGACTACTGACTAATTTCTATTAAAATAATATAAATAAAAAAAATAGAAAAAGTAATCACGTGACATATGATCCTAAGGGCGTGGCAGCACGTGAATGGAGAAGCACACGTGCAAATGAATACTATTATAGTCGGCCCCACACGTGTTAGATGGACTTGACTTTTTTCAACGCTATATTATTCAAATGTCCCAAATAAGATCTGCTGACGTGGATTTAATATTTTTTTCACAGTACAATGCAGAATCCAATGCTCATTTTTTGTTTTTTATTTTCATTTTAACAATTTTTTTCAACTACCATTTCATTATATATATATTTTTTTATTTCTGTCCCATTAATTTTATTTAAACAATCAAAATATTATTCAACCTATAGTAAATAATTAGTTTTAAAAAATAAAATAGTTCTCGAGCAAGACCTTAATTATTTATTATGAGCGAAAACTTAATTAAAGTAATTATTTTTTTGTTTTGAATATTCTTAGTCTTTTAAAAAGCAAATAATGATAAATAGAATAATGCAAATTATTGGGAGTTATTTGACTGTTTATCTAACAGAACCAGCACTTCATTTATTATTTTTTAATTGATTTTACAACTTTTGGTTGACTTGTAAACCTAACATACTGAACCATTGAATTTGCCTTTTGGAATCCTATGCAAAATAATAATAACAACAATAATTTAAATAAATGTATTTAACTTTTAGTGTAATATATTTATTTTTCATGTTATATGAGTGAAACTTATTTGGACGATAATGCCCCTGAACTTAGCCTGAAGGAAAGCTCCAACTCACGAGTGATTCATGTGGCTTGAATGGGTTTATTTGTACTTTACTAAAGAATTAATATCTCACATGAAATTTCACAACTCACAAGCTCCCCTTTGTCCTCTTTTACATGGACAATTTTACCCTTGGATATATTTGTTTCCGTCCTCCCTCTCAAGGGTATTTCTGTACCGTTAATTAAAAATGTTCGGGAGATTTGAACATTTAACTTCTTAATGAAAGGATTAATAGAGGAGGGGATGAAATAAAAATAAAATAAAAAAACTGTTTATTTCCTAAATTGAGGAAGCCAATGAAATAAAAAAAGCATTGAATGGGGGAAAACTTTAGGTTAAACGTTAATTTCCCTCCAAAATGAATAAAGTATATTTTGGATTTCCCTCCCATAAATTAATTTTTTAAAATGATTAAAATAAAAATTATTCCCACCAAAAAAAAAAATAAATAAATAAAAAATTACACACTTTCTATATCTGAGTAAGAGGAACGCGATCATCGCCATTTCCCATGGCCCGCATGGACCCACTCTTCCACTTCGCATGTGTCACAACCAATAAGAATTCAACACGTGTCCATCTCATTACCTGCAGTTTTTTGTTCGCTTCTAAAACTGTGGCTTCGCAAATTTTTTTTTGGCGGGCACTTTCGTGAAATTCAAATAAAGATCAAACCCTAGCCTCTCTTTCGCTTCTCGTCCTTGTTTTCCCTCCCTTCTTGTTCTTCTTCTCTCTCTCTATTTCTCTCTCGTTATTGCGAATTTCGAGGGGTTTATCCTAAATTCTTTCTATTCACAGGTTAGTTCGATTTCGTTTATTCCCATCTCTCTGATTTGTTTTCTTGTTCCGTTTCGATTCTTGCTGCGTTTCTTGAATGTTTTTGATTCGGTATAGATTTGTAGTTTGAGGGGTTTGGGTTTTTATTCTCAGCCTCTTTTCGAGGTGGTTTTTTATTTTTTCCGCCGTTCTTGGCGTTTCTGATGAATTTCTTATGCAGTTTGAATGTTCAAGAACTCATTGAAACTGTTTGAATTTTGTGTGGCAGGTTATGTTGATGGGTTGGTTTTAATTATTCATGTTGCGGGTTCATAAGAGTGGTAGAAAAAGGCGTTTGGTTTGCTGTGAATGGGGAAAGTAAAGGAAGGAATGGGGGATGCGTTTTCGAACGAAAGGGAGTCGAAGAAATTGAAGAGGAGAAGGCGGGCGAAGGGCTCTTCTGGGAAGTATTTGAAGCCTGGTGCTCTGTCGAAGCTGCGGTGCAGCAAGGGCTCGGTTGGTAAATCTTGTACTTATCTTGGAAGGAAGAGGGTGGCTGTGTTGGATGCTGGGAAGACTAAGAGGAATAATGCGGGGCTTGAGGACAAGGTTTCTGATAGAAGTCCTTTGATGTTGTCGCCTGTCAAGTTGGTGATGCATATAAATCATATTAGTACCCCAAGAACTCCTCGGGTTGAAAGCTGCGAATCAGAGTCGCGACTGGAATCTCTGCCTATGGATCTATTGGTATTGTTAATATTCATCCAATTCTTTTCTGATTCCTAGAACATAACGTGTTCATCTCAAAATTACATCAAATGCATAAAACCCAACTTATTCCGTTTTCTTTACAGATTGTATGATCTTCTTTTGCTTGCATTGTTTTTAAGCTATGATCTGTGACTAGAAATATTTGTTCCTTTAATGGATCATGGGTTTTCAATGGGTTTTTAGTGTCAAAACCAATGTTTTATGATTCATTTCATTTTGTGAAGATAATGTAAGAAAGGAGTAGACGTGGCCAACTTTTAGTAAAAAGGCCAAATCCTTTCTAGCTGTTACTTTCTAAATTATCAACTTAGAAAACCCAAGTTCTTTTGATCTTGAAGAGCATGTTTGATCACGCATATAGATTTGAGTAATCATGTTGATCTGATCTGGATGTGCGCTCAGATTTTGTATTGTTTGATGGGTATTAATTTTATGATCTTGTGTCTTAAATTTGTAACTTGAAGGTGAAAGT